TTTCGTAATAAAAAATAGTCGAAAATGCTCCGAGAAAAGTTATAATAATTTTAAAAATTATAGAAATTGTAAGAATTGTGAAAATGATCAAAATTGTCAAAATTACTATTAATTTCGTAATAAAAAATAGTCGAAAATGCTCCGAGAAAAGTTATAATAATTTTAAAAATTATAGAAATTGTAAGAATTGTGAAAATGATCAAAATTGTCAAAATTACTATTAATTTCGTAATAAAAAATAGTCGAAAATGCTCCGAGAAAAGTTATAATAATTTTAAAAATTATAGAAATTGTAAGAATTGTGAAAATGATCAAAATTGTCAAAATTACTATTAATTTCGTAATAAAAAATAGTCGAAAATGCTCCGAGAAAAGTTATAATAATTTTAAAAATTATAGAAATTGTAAGAATTGTGAAAATGATCAAAATTGTCAAAATTACTATTAATTTCGTAATAAAAAATAGTCGAAAATGCTCCGAGAAAAGTTATAATAATTTTAAAAATTATAGAAATTGTAAGAATTGTGAAAATGATCAAAATTGTCAAAATTACTATTAATTTCGTAATAAAAAATAGTCGAAAATGCTCCGAGAAAAGTTATAATAATTTTAAAAATTATAGAAATTGTAAGAATTGTGAAAATGATCAAAATTGTCAAAATTACTATTAATTTCGTAATAAAAAATAGTCGAAAATGCTCCGAGAAAAGTTATAATAATTTTAAAAATTATAGAAATTGTAAGAATTGTGAAAATGATCAAAATTGTCAAAATTACTATTAATTTCGTAATAAAAAATAGTCGAAAATGCTCCGAGAAAAGTTATAATAATTTTAAAAATTATAGAAATTGTAAGAATTGTGAAAATGATCAAAATTGTCAAAATTACTATTAATTTCGTAATAAAAAATAGTCGAAAATGCTCCGAGAAAAGTTATAATAATTTTAAAAATTATAGAAATTGTAAGAATTGTGAAAATGATCAAAATTGTCAAAATTAGAAACTTGTATAGATTATAAAAATTATAAAAGTTTTTACTAACTTTGAGCGCAAATAGCAGCGAAGAATTACGAAACCTCCCACTTCCTTCAATTTCGACACAGATCTACCGCTAGCTCCTGGTCAAACGGTCACGAAGGCATGAATGAAAATGTGGAAAACGAAAGAAAATCTCAGCGACGACTCTAAACAGGGAGCTGTTCGCAAACGATCGAGCTCCTGTTCGCGAAACAGGAGCAGCCAGCCAGGAGATCGGCTGGCGATTATTAACGAAAGGAAGGCGTTGCGGCAAAAGGAAGTAACAAGTCGCGAAATAGATACCTGAAGAAGAAGGCTAATCCGCTCTTTTCCGACACACCTGATGGCCGAGCATGCGAGCGCATCGTCTCGCGTACGAAACGCCGCGGAACGCCTTAAGCGGCGTTCACGCCGAGGATTTACTGCGCTCGAAAACTGCACGCCCTATTGACGGAGGATAATTTCCACCGGAATGCACCAACCTGGAATTTTTCTACTCTGCACGCGAGTAGAACCGGTAGAAGAATACACAGGCGAGAAGCTCTAAATATTCAGTGTAACTCGTTTGATCGTTACTCAATCCTCTTCCATTTGATTCGAAGTTTTTCGGTCGAGGCAATTAGCGGAATTCCATTCGTTCCTGAATCCTTACTTCTTTACTTCTTCGGGTATTTCGATGAATTATTCACTGTCTTCGTGGATGATTTTTTCTTTTTGAAGTTTCGAGGAATTCGTGCGGTTTTTCGTCGGAGAGGTAATTTTTCTTTTATGTTAGGGGATAGAGGTAGAAATAGAGATTGAAGAATTGATTATGTAAGGAAAGTATAATCGTTGGAGATTCTGCTGCAGTCATTCATGAGTTGTTCGAAGTGTATTAATTATACACAGATTGATACGATAAGATGTGCTGTGAGCACGCAGCAGATTTCGCCGGAAACTTGCCCCCATTCAGTAAAGAACATCGATTTACTTGTTGACTGAACTCGTATGTTAGTCAAATGTTTGCACGTTTTAGAGTGTGTAGTTAGACGTCGGGAAAAATTACAGTTAGCCTGTGAACGATTTCAAATAGAGGATCGAGAAAATTGTGAATTATTGAGAATTGAGAATTCACTCACTCCTTTCACTTAACCTATTTAAGAGGAAGGAAGAGCAATTAATTTAATTAGTTTTATTAAACTGATTAATTTTATACACGTGTGTCTCTTAAAATATATTTATACACGTAGCAATATAATACGTCAAAAGAAATTGGGGCAGTTTTTAATAAACGTACGCTTTTCTAATAAATGAAATTTTTCATAAATGCAATAACATATAAGGTATGAAAAGAATTTAGCGCACTTTTTAATAAATGAGATTTTCCGTAAATGCAACAATATAATACACCAAATGAATTTAGCGCACTTTTTAATAAGCGTATGTTTTTTAATAAACGTAATTATTTTATAAACGTACCAGTATATACACTAAAAGTATTTGACGCACTCTTTAATGAACGTATGTTTTTTTAATAAATGAAATTTTTCATAAATGCACCAATATAGTACACTAAAAGGATTTAGCGCACTTTTTAATAAAGGTATTTATTTTATAAATACACCGAAAGAATTTGGCGCACTTTTTAGTAAACGTATGTTTTTTAATAAATCAAATTTTTCATAAATGCACCAATATAGTACACTAAAAGGATTTAGTGTTTTTTTTAATAGACGTAATTATTTTATAAATACACCGAAAGAATTTGGCGCACTTTTTAGTAAACGTATGTTTTTTAATAAATGAAATTTTTCATAAATGCACCAATATAGTACACTAAAAGGATTTAGTGCACTGTTTAATAAATGTAATTATTTTATAAATACACCGAAAGAATTTGGCACACTTTTTAGTAAACGTATGTTTTTTAATAAACCAAATTTTTCATAAATGCACCAATATAGTACACCAAAAGAATTTAGTGCACTGTTTAATAAATGTAATTATTTTATAAATACACCAAAAGAATTTGGCGCACTTTTTAATAAATGAAATTCTTCATAAATGCACCAATATAATACACCAAAAAAATTTGGCTCTTTATTCAATTAAAATACACTCTTCAAACAGTCGCCCAATGAACTAATTCTTCCAGGAACCACGACACGATCAAAACGCTTTCTACGCTAGATCACGCGATTCCCCGGAAAATCTCGCTAAAATCCCTTAAAACGATGACGCCAGTGAGTCAGGCGAGTTCTACGAAATCCTCGTGCGATCACGCGATTTCCAAAGCGTGCCTCTCGCGAGTGTTGTCCGTGAAAATTGGCCGCGCGCACTTTCTCGCCGGCAGATCCGTCTGCGAGGAACGCCGTCGTTGGAGCGTGGCGCGCGAAAATCCGATCTCCCGCGAGCTAACTGGGCTAATTTAAAGTAGGCCTGCTCCGTCTCGTCTCGCTCAGCCGAGGGAAATAATGTTCACCAAGTTTCCCTCCCTCGTTCTTTCCACCTTTTCCGTGAAACTTCCGTCGCTTTTCACACGTACAGCCGGATCCTCGATTTTGTCCCGATACCCTCAGCCGTACTAACCGCCTACTATATACTCGATTTCGTCGTCGAGAACGAAAGTGGTTCCCCTCGGGTCGTCGCTGTCGCCATATCGGCCATTGTCGATCAACCATAATCTATCGTTCGATCGATCTGAACCTGTCAACACCGAGAAACACGTGAACGTGTCACTTTGACACGAGGAGATGTGTATTGCTATTAAAAATATAACAAAGGAGTTTATTAAGAGTTTTGCAGCTGAGAAACAATGGGGAATGAGAATAGAAACTGAAGGAAATGATTAAAGTTTTCTTTCTGTTTAATATTAAAATTTGTGACATATTCATTTCGTGGGAATATAGAGATATTCGATTATCCTAACAGTGAATATGAACATTAATTCAGATAAACAGAGAAATTCACGTGAACGTTTCACTTTGACACGAGTAGACGTGTAATTGCAATTAAAAGTATAGCAAAACATCGATCAACATTTGGCACCTAAGAAAAATCGAGAAACAAGAATAGAGACTAAACGAAAAAGTTAAATTCTTCATTTTCCTTAATATTAATATGTATAAAATACTTCTTCCATCCACCAACAGGTATCGACATTAATTCCGATAATCAAGGTCCCACCGAAGTCAGAAGCCTCAGACTAGATCTATGTTTCCCAGTAATTGACCATTAATAATAACACCCGACACAACCAGTGCAATTACCTCTTCAAACACGCCAATATATCAACATCAGATTTTCCTCCGATCCTCCATAATTCTCTATAATTCATCCAACAAGCTCTAATACAATTTAAATCCTCGTAATTCCACCTAAGAACGTTTCTAGAGCGAACCGTGTGCGATATCGAAGAAAGTCTAATATTTCTCAACCCACGGTATTCTGTAACCTAACGAAATTTCAAACGAGACCCTCTGTGTTGACCAAGAGCATCTCTGAATGGACGTCTCTAGGCTTCGCTCTCATTAGAGCGGACCCGTCTCCGGTATCCTTTTTTTTCCCCCTGGCGAATTCGACAGAGATTCGAATGCTCCGCTCTATTTGACGCTCCCTCTCGCCGCGTGTAAAGAGCGGTGGTGGCGACGCGCGAGAGGTCCCCTCGCCTCCTCTTAGCCGCGAAAGAAGAGAGCACCGCCTGGCCGGCGCGCGTTCCTCTCGACTACGGAGAATGTATGGAACGGGCCGAAAGGCAAAAAGGAAAAAGGACTACCCGGTGACTCGCTCTATATATACTGCAACTATCCGAGGGTATGTCCAGTGCACGGTACGCGTCTCGTCCGTCAGCTTCACTCAGGAGGTCCACCCAGCCTGTGCAGCAACAGTTCGTTCCCGCGACGCGTCCTCCTCAACCGCCGTCGGATCTTCCATCGCCAGAAGGGATCTGTACAAAAGAGATCGAAGGGCTCTTCACGAGAATCAACGAGTTCGCCGAGCAATATGGAAGGATTGAAAGATCAATCGTCGCGTCTGATGCTGCTGATACCATTGTTGCTGCTCGTTGCCACAGTGGCTGGCGAGATAGAACGGCGCACGTCCAAGCAGCTGGTCGAGGAGTCAGCGGAGAATCTGGCTTCTACGTTGAACAAAGACTGCGGCAAGTCGTACAGTGCCACCTGTCTGAAATTGGACGTGGTGTCACTGTTGGATAGGCTGTCCGAGCAAGAGGACATCAGCATTCTTCCCGGAGTATCTGTGATCAAGGAGAATGGATCGGCGAGCATGCCAGCTGCAGAGGTGGTCGCTAATCTGGCTAGAGACTTTCCTAACGACGTGGAGAAGAGGCTGGACGCGTATCTGGTTCACAAGGTTGGAAGCTACCTGAACAGCCATTCGATCTCTATCAAACTGTTCGATCCGAGGACCTTCGAGGCTGCGAGGAACTTCAACGAGGAGACGTTGGCGCAGTTGGGTCTCGGTGGAGCGCAGAGCGTCGGTACTGGTAAGAAACGACTAATTTTCACCTGCCTTTTTCGCGATCTTTCCCCGTCAGATTAACTACGAATTGCACGTGATAACGCAGGACGCAAGAAGGAAAAGGGTGGCTACGGTGGTCTGATGGCTGGTCTGATGATGATGAAAGGTACACTGGGCGCAGTTGGCTTCGGTGCACTGGCCCTGTTAGCTGGTAAAGCTCTGATGACCGGTCTGATGGCTCTTATGCTATCGGCGATCGTAGGTCTGAAGTCTCTCGCTGGCGGTGGCGAGAAGAAGACCACCTACGAGATCGTCAGCAAACCAGTCTACTCTAACTCTCACACTCACAGCTCCGAGGAGCACCATGGCCACGGTTACGGTCATTCCGGATACGGAAGATCCCTGGACACCGTTCACGACAGCGTTCAACAGGCTGTATTGAAGTACGGGAACGCGCGGGATCGCCGGTCGCTCTATCGGCAGAATTAACGAATTCGCGAGTGGAGGAGCTACCAGCAACGAAAAAGAAAAAAAAAGAAAAAAAATAAGAAAAGTCAAGCTGGTGGCACGCGAGAGATCTAGTAGCACGTCTCTACCTCACCGAGTTCACTTCGTTTCCTTCCTCCATCTTTTCCACACCTCGCGGTTCCTCTCGATCTGTATCAGTGGCTCCTCCTCCTCCGCATCGTCTTCACCCATTCTCTTCTCACCGATCATTCCTCTACCACCACTCCTCGTACTATCAGTACCACTATTGCTACTTCTATATAACTACCACATCACCTTTCTCCAGTCTGTAAGTCCGTTTCGCTTTCTTGTTGCTCGCGCTCTATCTGTCACTTCCGTCGCCTAGCCTGGTCTCATTTCATCGCCCTGAGTTTTCTGATCACCATTACAGTTATATTCGTAGATTCGTAGGTATTTATTGCGAAGCATGCTCTCTTCCCTTCTTCTCTCTCTCTCTCTCTCTCTCTCTCTGTTTCTCTCTCATTCCCTTCATACCACCATTCCGCTCTGTTCGTCTTCCTTAGGTCACGGCTCGAGCTGGTCGTCGTTGCACATGGACCATCCTCGTTATCATGTACATGATTTCTCCTCTTTGTTATTTATATGTATTTATGCGCATTGTAAAGTTTTAATAAAACATGTTTTTAAGAAGCTGCTTCTTGGTCCCTTGTTCTTGGCTCTTTGGACATTTCTTTTTGTAATTTTTCTTTTCGGATGTTGGTTCGTACGTGGAGGATTTGATACGTTCGAGGCGTGAGTTAGTTCTTTGTGTCTGGGTAAAGTGAAGGCCGAGCTTCGACGCGGTCTGCTGCCAGGAAGATTATACACGTTAGACGGTAATTACAAGATGAATGCACTCAATTAGAGTGATACGAAAGAAGGTCGTCCCCTTCACAACGCCGTTCGTCAGGCTAACTAGACGTTCTCTGGTCATTTAGGCTCTCCTCGTTATCAATTTCGCAGGATTAGTCGAGTGGTCGTTAATCTTGTAATGGAAGAAATTATGAAGGAAATTGGGTACCAATCTTTTGCTGAAGGAATTGGGAGTGAAACATTAAAATTTTGCAGAATTACTTGAGCAATCGTCAATCTTGCAGTGGTGGAAATTACGAAAACAATTCTGCTCTAATCTTTTGCTGAAGGAATTGGGAGGAGAACACTAGAATTTTGCAGAATTACTTGAATAATCATCGATCTTACAATGAAAAAAATTGTAAAAAAAGCAAAATTTCCTCTTATATACGATTTGAACACTATAAACATTTTGCAAAATTACTTCGATAAATTTCAAATGTGTCATTACTTTTTGTCAATCTTGCAATGAAAAATATTGTAAAAAGTTCTGTTTCAATTTTTTACTAAATGAATTCAAAAACTAAAATTTCCTCTCACCCACGATTTAGCCGCTACAAACATTTTGCAGAATTACTCCAATAAATTACAAACACGTCACTACTCGCAATAGAAAAAATTATGAGAAAAGCATCTGTTTCAATCTGTTACTAAAGGAATTAAAAAACCAAATTGCCTCTTATCTACAATCTGAACTACATAACTACACCATTATATTTCTCTCCCGACCTCTTCAGGTACTCCAATTTAGTAAAAAAATTAAAGAGCAAATTATTCAGGAAATTTTCCGATTACGCAGACTCGATCTCTGACTCCCCATAATTTATCGAGTTGCCCCCGAAATCTGGAAAGAGCGCATCCTGTTCGGTGGACTAGGAAACTCATTTCAAGAACGATCCACCCGGTAAGCTTATTATTACGCAATTTTTCCAGCGAGTCGCTAAATGGCAATCGTGACTGGTTGTCGCAAAGATCCACCGAGTGACATAAATTTTAGTGTATATAAACTAGTACGATCTGACTGTCGTCAGTCTGTGACAGCTGGTAAAGTGAAGTCGATCGTTTAATCGAGGATTATCGCGTATCGACCGATGTTAACTGGGAAAATCGTTCGTAGAGTGCGTGGATCGATGATCGTCGTGGTCCTTGTGCTCTGGATCGTTGCTCGAGGTGAAGCTGAGGATGGAGTGATCGAGGACAGGAAGATCGACGCGGATCCCTATAGGATTATTGGGACCAGTGCTAGACAATAGTACTGTGCACTTCGTTACAGAATTCTTTCCATTTTTTCATAATTTTTCAAAAGTGTAAAATTGAAATTCGAATTTTTTTAAAATATTTGTGGATTGAATTGGATAATATACGTTTGTATGGTACAGCTGGTACTGAAGTAACGCAAATTTTCAGTAGCACTGGCAGACAAGTGTTCGACTACCGGAATAATGGCGTCAGAGTGGACGTCAGAGTGGTTCCATCTTTGAAAAATGATTCCACAAGGGACGATAACTTCCCAGAATTCCCCACGACGGATATAGGCCGCTGTATTATCGATCTCTCTCTGGTCTGCGCTAGGAAACGTCTCGGTCGATTCCTGGAGTCAATTAGAGACCTGAACGAAATCTACTTAATGGGACAGAAGATCAAATTGGTGAAGACTAGAGTGATCGATAATCGTAGATCCACGAACGAGAGTAACGACACTATCGAGCGTAGTGTCGATGATTTTTTCGATACCTTCGTCCTGAGAATCACGCTACCAAGATGGAATGGGAAACGAGAGAGAAATCAGATCGATCTTATGTTCGACGAAACTGCCATTTCTGAGGGTTTGTAACGTGCAATTGAGAATTAGAATGTTCCAATTAAAATTGTTTAAAAATTCTATTTTCCTCAGGACGTGGAAAAGGAGGTGGAGGGAAAGGCAAAGGTGGCAAGTGTAAGATGATGATGATGGCTGGGTTGATGATGATGAAAATGAAACTAATGGGTGATGCATATCCTCTGTATTCTTCTATCGATTATTAATTGCAGGTGTAATTAGAGTGTCTAATTGATTTCTTATACAACAGGTGTGGTAACGATGAAAGGAATGATGATGGGAGGCATGTCTCTCATGCTGTCAATGGCGATGCTGCTGCAGAAATACATGAAAGGTGGAGGTGGTGGAGGTGGTGGAGGTGGCGGAGGAGGAGGTAATACGATAAATAATCAAATACCATCGAACGAAATGTCATTACTGTTAAAAATTCTCAGGTCAATACAAGGAAATCGTTCTTCTGACAAAATCTGGTGGAGGTGGAGGAGGTGGTGGAGGTGGTGGAGGTGGCCATTCATATTCAGATTCTTATCACAGTGCACCACCAGCCTCAAGTTACGGGCCACCGTCAGGTGGAGGTGGTGGAGGATGGGGACGTAGCTTCGAAAGACGATTCACAGCGACAAATTACAATAGAACGAACTATACGACAGACTCGAGAAATTCTTCCGTTAAAAACGGACCACCTGTTTCAACCAAGAATTTCATCGATCGTCGGAGCTACGAGTATCATCCTGTCAATTCTAATTTCACATATTCCAGCTGGAATTCAACTAATTACGAGGAACCAGTGACGTATCGATACCTGGGTAACAAGACTGTGAGCGATGTGGGAAATAACAGCGACGTGGAGCCGTTTCTGCGTTCAGAATCCGATAATTACGCCGTCGACGAGGCTCCCTATCGGATAGAGGGTTCCAGGGATTCGAGGCCAGTCGTTGGTTACGCGGACAACGTCGATCATGTCGCCACGACGAACTACATCGCGAACAACTATGACACGGGTGTAGTGTATCCAGTTTACAGCGACGAGTGGCAGCCCGTCGAGGAGAAGTCCCAGGCGTCGAGTTTGAGGAGAGATATTGGAGGATCGAATAGCGGAGAGACGAATTTGCGTGGAATTTAGCGGATATTTAGGAAATTTGGAATTTGTAGTGTGTCGTATGGAAATGAATTTAGCGTATTTAATAAAATTTAGTCCGTACGAAATTTAGAGTGTACATATGAAATTTTATGAGTTGAAGTACTGTGGATTGGATGTTTTGCAAAATGGAAATGTACGAAATTTAATAAAATTTGAAATAGAAAAATGTAAAGTCTGTGGTGATAGACCTATCACTATATGCATTCTCTTATCACACTTCACGAGAGCTCTAGAGTCTCCTTATCATTATCGTGTAGCTTCCAACGTTACCGATACAGCGTAGAATAAGATTGCAACAGTAACAGTGGTTGGACTTAGAACTAAACGTGACTATGATGATGAGGTATAGAATTCTATACCATTATATAGAATTCTATATCATTGATAAATGAGGTATAGGACTGGATATCGTACAATCGTACACGAAGTATAGAATTCTGTACTTTTAAATGTATGCACATTAAGTTGAATTTCGAGTATTTTTCAGTTTATTCGCTTGTTACGCGTTTTCAACCATATCCAGACTTAGTTTATTTAATTTTTCAATGAACTATTATTTAAAGAATGAGCGTTTCGCAAAAGAAAGTGTACGTGGTGTGTAAGGGAGAAATGAATAGACTGTAAAATGCTGTAAAACAATGCTAGTATACATATTGTAACATTTCGTAAAATACGTTGCATTACTTCACTTTTCCTGATATTGGAGCCCTCTCCTTGAATCCTGTGGTGGTCTGAAAGATCATTCTCTGATTCAAACGAAAATTTACATTGTTATTTAACAAGGAACACTAATTATTCTTCAATGAAAGTACTTGATAGTACAATAAAAACTTTGATAAGTTAATACATTAATAAATGAAGAAATAAAGCTGCTTTACCACATTCTTTCGCTCGAATTTCGGACTTGGAGAACTTTGGCACGTTTGAGAAACGATTGACTCACACTACTAGCTGATTTTGAAGATTTTCGAATGTCTCGGAAATGGTTGTGTTGTACTACTTACTGATTCCGCAAAAATTTCTAGCTACTGAGGAATGGTTGACTAACACTACTCGCTGGTTTCGAAAAAATTCTAGCCTCTGAGATATGATTGACTTGCACTACTTGCGGCATTTCAGAAATTTCCTCGTGCAACATTGTGCACTTTTCGAGAACGATTCGCGGCAACAAAGTTGCAAACCCGATTCCCCCTTTGCAACTTTGTGTAGCGCGCGCGGCTCGCAAAAAAGCACAATGTTGCAAAACGCGTTATCGCGTTTGCAACTTTGTTGCCGGAAGTCGTTCTCGAAAAGTGCACAATGTTGCAAAACGGCGCGTCGTGCAACAATGTGCAATTTTCGAGTACGATTCCCGGCAACAAAGTTGCAAGCGCGGTCTCTCCTTTTGCAACAATGTGCTTTTCGGGAGCCCGCGAGAGTCACAATGTGGCAAAACGGCGTATCGCGCAACAATGTGCATTTTTCGAGAACGGTTCGCGGTAACAATGTTGCAAACTCGATAACGCGTTTGCCACAATGTGCATTCGAATATAATACGAGTCAACGACGTTACATTCAAGCGTAGTGCTTGCAATAATGTTCGCGTTCGGAATAACGCTTCTGATAATGTTGCAAGCAGAATCAGAGATTCGAACAATGTTTACGTTCAAATATAACGCTTGGAGCAGTGTTGCATTCAAAAGTAACGCGTGCAACAACGTTTTGCATTCGAAATAGTGCTTCCATCGATGTTGCATTCGAGAATAGAGACTGCAACAATGTGTGCATTCGAGTTTCAAAGGTGAACAGTGAAATAAGAGTATCTCGCTGCTTAAAGGTCACCGTTCAACGATATAAAAGTTCTTCTCCTGTTACTACAACCGTGTCCCACACCTCGATCAATTTGTCACCTCAACTCACGCGGGAACAAAGGCTCATTGTCGTTATACATTCTCAACACATAATTCCTATAATTCCTAAAATATAATTCCTAAACTCACCATTCAAAAACACCTCCAATCTTTGACACGATCGGTATTTCAGAACATGACATAGAGTCCCCGTAAGACGATTGCTCTATTCCGCACCTCGTCTATGGTTAAACAATATCGACCGGAGAATGGTCAGACTTTCGAACTTGGCACCGTTATACGCTCAGCAGTGGCGCAATCTTACGAACAGTCCTCCAAGACTCTGTACAGGTGCGAATCTTACCTGTCCTCGACAGGTGTGCTCCTCGTCCGTGACACTGAACTCCCAGCTACCGACTGAGGAACTCACAGTTGAAGAACGTCGCCACCAGGCGTCCAAGGCCATCGACCGACTTCCTGCACGAGGTTCAGGGTCGTTTCAACACATCTCTCCCATAATTTTCACCTCGTCCGAAATTCACAACTGCGTCGATCGAAATTTGTTCGATGCTTGAAAACAAATTTCATATCCACCAGTACGAACATTTTGTAAAATCTTCGAATAATTCCGTTTAATCGCTGTATCGGTCCATCTTTTCCCCCCGACTCTTCTTCTCTTTCCACGGCCATAAGGAAGTGAAATTTGCGACCCAGTATCGATTCGTTTTACGACCAACTCCATTAACACGAAATCCAAGTTGCATCGGTTCGTTGGCTGATTATTCCATTACTTCTTCTACTCGATGTCGATCACATCGATTTATATCCAGGAAAAATCCACGCGATTAATCTAATCTATTAGCTCGTTACGCGTTTTCTAATTTCCGACTGCTGGATCCTATCCGTTGGAACGGAGTCAGAAATTCTATTCGCCCAACTTCCTCGTTCAATTCATACAAATTACGTTCATGGTCGTGCACGTATACGATGCTCAATTTAATTATCATCGCGTTAACCCACATTAAAAGCTGCGATGCTCTTAACCGATATCGGTGAACGACAAGCGGCATTTAAATAACGAATCTGTCCGCGCATTAATCGCACGATAAGCCAGCAGTGTATACGTGTATATGGTCTTAGAACGAAGTCACACGCCGTAAAATGTGTGTCTCGATGCTGCACGTACGACGGAGCTCGTCTAAGAATCGGCCCTGCACAATGGACGACCCACATCGCTCTCTTCTTCGGCTGTTTGATACACGCGGCACGTAGCATTTTCGGAGACAACGCGATCTGATTTGAAAGTTATAACGGCAGCCGGATTTTTCAGGCACGACGACCGACTAATCCTGTAACGTACACAGGGATAACGTTCGCTTCTTTCATATTGCCGGACAAACTTTTTCTATGCAAAATTCGCGTCGGGATAAGTCGAATTTCGAGGAATTTCAACGTTAATACGGTCAAAGACGCCAAGTGATCCAAATCTTCCTTTTATTTATACGATCACTAGAGAACGTTCGTATCCTGTATTACTCGTGAATTTATGAATCTTGAGATTTCGTTTCGAATAATTTTGTTTAGCTTCTGAATGAAATCTACTTTAAATATCTATGGAGGAATTATAAATTATTAGAGATTTTATTTGTAATAGTTGTTGATTTACACACTGATTGACAATTAACTCTTTATCTATTTCAAGTGTCCATAGAGGTGTCGTGAATTGTTAAAGATTTTGGGTGTAATAGTGTCAATTGTTTGGGTACTCAACCCTTTAATAGAGACACCTGTTGATCATTATATTGATTGTGAATTAACCCTTTACCGCTTAATACAAGATCACATAATAATAACTTATTAGATAAATATTTGATTTATTCAAGTTTCTTTGATTAATTAACCCTTTACCTCTCAATACCGAATCACAAGAAGCAGACGATTTTTATTCGCAATAAATTATTAAATAAAAGTTTGACTTGCTCAAATTTAACCCTTTAAGTCTTAACATAAAATCCCATAAAGCGGACTCAATTAATTAATCGAATTTCTTTGATTAATTAACCATTTACCACTTAAAACCAAATAACAGAGAGCAGACAATCTTTATTCATACAAAATTTTAATTCAGTAGATTCCGGTTAATAGGGACACATTGGGACCGGACTAATTCGTCCCGATTATGCGGCTGTCCCGAAAAAGCGAATTTCACCAAGCAAAATCTGAACAACGTAAAAAATGAAGCCAAAAACGAGATATTGAAAAACGTATGTAATATTCGGTCTTGAATTCAAATGTGTGTTTAAGCATGCAAACAAAGCTAACAATAAGTAATGAAAGATAAGTAAATAAACAAACATATTTCTTCAGTATCTGTCCCAAATAACCGGCGGTCCCGCTTAACCGGCGTCCCAATTAACCGGAATCCACTGTATATAATGGATAAAATTTTAAAAAGCACTCTGAAAAATACTGCACAATTCAAAAGAAAACAGTAACAGAAGAAGATAATGGGGAAGAGACTTAAACAGGAAAACCAGAGAAAGTCCTCACGTGGGAGGCCATGTTGCAGCGGGCCGCAATCGCGCCAGAAATAGGTAGAACGTGTCACGCCATGGGTTCGCGAATCGGTTCACTTTCCTACGCGCTTACCACGCCGCCTCGTGACGGATATTTCCTCCACGTGAACAATATCCCTTGACGTAACAGAAATTACCAACACGAGGAATCACGGAGAGAGAGGAAAATGCGTGGAAATCTGGAACGATTACACCGTGTACTCGTAATTTCACAGAACCGGGGTAAATTATGGACTATACGAACGTGGAAATCGTGTCTTCTTTCTCCCATTCATACGATCGTCAAGCGTTTACCATGCAAATCACAAGTATTTCGGGGAATCCTGGTAAAAGAAGCGTTTCACGACTTCTTTCCCATCGAATATCTGTGTCGATCGTCTTTCCTGATTTCTTTTTAATTTATTGCATTTGTTGCGTCGTGCGCTTCGAACAAGCGGTATGTTCGAGAGTGGTGGCGTAGGATTGTCGCTGGTTCGTGGTGCGGATTGTTTGCTGATGTGAAGTCGTGGTGTGGTGAGGTTGCACGTATTTTATTATGTTAAAAGAAAAACACTTTATTTTGAAGAGTGGTGGTTTA